AACTTGGCCTATTAAACCATGATTCTGAAAACTGTCGTTGAAAGTGATTGAACACTTCGGTTCTTATTTCCTTAGGATCTTCAGTCAAGGGCCCATTAACCTCAATTGAGCACAGTGCATTCCTATTCCTCCTCGTGGAGGCCATGACATGGGAAAATTTGGTATTTCTATCACCTTTTAATATCCAGTTAGCTCTGGACTTCTACAGCCATAATCATTCAACTATTTTACTCAAATTCCATGCTTCACCTATTAACTCCCTAAGTGTAGATCTCTCTGCATCAGTGAGTAATCTTTGTTCAGCTACCAAATCCAAGACATGTATCTCCTCCTCCAGTTGCTTGAGTTTAAAATCCACCTTGCCAAACACCTCAAGGTTCCATCTTTTCAGTGCTGCTTTAAGTAATCTCAGTTTCCTTAAACATTTGAATCCAGCCCAACCATTTACATGAGATTCAGCCCAAATTTTCTGCACAAAAATCTTAAACTTCGGATAAAGACACCAGGCATTTAGAAACTTAAATGGCTTTGGACACCAATCTCTTTCATCTTCCATCATTAATATAGGACAATGATCCAAGAGCCTTCTTGGTAATCCCCACAATTTAAAATTAAATTTTTGCAACCAATCTGGACTAATTAAAAACCTATCCAGCCTACTCCATTTGGGGCTATTCTGAGAGTTACACCAAGTGAACTTTCTCTCCAATATTGGTAAGTCACACACTTCCAGGTTATCAATTAACTTGTTAAAGTCCTTCATACCACCACTTCGTTGGGAACAACCCACCCTCTCAGATAATGTCCTAATCTCATTAAAGTCACTACCCAAGCACCAAGGATTAACAAAGCTTCTCTTCAAATTCTTCAAAGTTTCCTATAATCCCTTCCTATTAGCACCATCAGTCGGGCCATAAACATTCACAATAACACGAGCTAGACTTGTAAAAAGGGTGCCAGACAAAATGATAAAATACCTGTTACAACAGGAGTCCAGAAGTTGAAACACTTGTAGATTCTAGACACACAGTAGTCCACCAGCTACACCCTCTGAGTCCACAGCCATATAGGCCATCTGTTCCCCAGGTCAACAAGATCTAGCAAATTCGTCAGTTATAGCAAGTCTCTTTGTTTCCTGAAACAGTGCCACATCCACCTTTCTTTCAAATAGAAGTTTTTTGATTTTCCTCCTTTTAATGGACTTGCCTAGCCCTCTAACATTCCAAGATAAGAGCTTCATTAAAACAAATTTACTCACCAAAACTCCACAGCAGATACAGATTACTCTGCCTTACTACCCCTTTTACCCAGTACCTCCTTATCCTTAACTTCCAGTTCCATCAATTTGCTAATTACTTCCTCATCCTTCCCTTTACATTTCAGCCCAAGCAACTTCCCTATCTTCAGAGTCGCTTCTGCCTCATTAAGGAGCAGTTGACCAGAACCCGATTTGCTTGCCATGGACAAAGAAATAGCTGCAGCTGCCGACCTAAAAATGGCCCCTTTCTTGAAGATCAAAACTGATCCAACCCCTATTTGTAGGCTTCTTTTTTTCTTCCTCTGATATTTCACCAACCCTTTACCTTTCTCTTTTGTAGTAGTTTTCCTTTTTTGATCTACCACTGCCGTGTAACTTGTTGTTGCTTCGAAAGGCTCCTTATCCACACTGACATGAGTTGCCTTTCCATTGCTATTTTGGACTTCATCCTCCTTTGTTAGCAGATCCTTTGGATCACTTAATTCAGAAGATCTATGGCCCAGACTATTACCACACTGTAAGCCATGGGCCTTACTTAATAACACCTCTATATTAAGCCCAGGTGCATCTTTTTTCTGGCCCACTAAGACTCTTCATAAAACCTGGAGTAATAACATCATCTACTATAATCTGGTTACCTTTAGTTTGAATTTGAAAAGGAGTTGGCCCTGATTTGACTGTCTGGGACCCGCATGCTTCAACTCCACTTCCAGGTTGCTTCTACAAGCAGTCCAACTGACCTATCGACATGATAGTCTCCTCAACCCTAGACATACTTAGCTCTCTCAGTTGTCCATCAGTGGCTGTATAGTCATCATATCCTACCCTTGGCCTCCTTGCTCCACATCACCTGTGTTGTCCAGCACACCACCAACGTGGCCCTCCACATCAGCTTCATCTTCACCCTCCTTGCTCTCCAAAACAGACCTCTGCTCTTGATCCTGTTCCTCACCATTTGAAGTTGAATTTTCCGTTTGGGGCTGTTCACCATAACATCTGCATTGCTTGTATATCACCTCTGAAATCACCCCATGTTCTTCACAAACCTTGACTGGGAAGTCAACCCCCTTGCATCGCAGGATAATAGTTGTGTTTATGGACTCCATACACCTAGTAGCAATTGTCACCTTACCACTGTGGAAAGACATCATGCTAAATGTGTCCTCATTAATGCCTATGACCTCCCTCCATGTCCTTCCAATGCTACTAAATGTTTTGCAGCTCTAGAGATTCAGGGGAACACCATAACACGTGAGCCATATAGATCTTTCTTGATCGAGAATCATCCCCTGCTGCCATACCTTGACTGATTCACTCCATGGCTGAATCCACCCCTCCATTGATTTGAGTTTCTTTTGCATTGTAGCCGCTGAATCAAACGTTAGCACAATATCTCTTCCCCTTCCATCTCTAACGTAAACATTACCCATTCTTCTTTCTTCAATTCCTCTTTAAACTCCACCGCAAGAATTTGAGGTTTCAATCGGACAATCACACTTTCATACAGCCACCCATTGCCCTCCTCGTAAGCTTGTATACTGATGTTTGAATCTGGAGCCAGCCCTGGACCACTCAATATTTGAGCATAAGACTTACCCCTTTGTAACATATTTGGAGCTCTGCTGTTTATATCAACATCCCTTCTTCCAACCGATGTGATTACTGGTTTGTGGTTAGCCTCTTTTCCTTGAACAAAATCTGCTACCTTCACTTTCAGAGCTCTGCTATCACACCAAATACCATGAGCTTTTTGGACTGCCATATTCACTGCCACTGGACAAGCGTATCGGACAAACCCAAACCTTGATCGAGTCAGCTTTCTCCTTTTGTTGGGGATGAACACATCCTTCACTATCCCATAGTTTGTGAATATGTTATACAACCCTTTTGGATCCATAGATTCTGGGAGATTATCCACAAAGATTGTATGAATCTCCTTACCCAGATCTGAGTTCCTACCTCCCTTACCACCATGTTTACGCAGAACCGGTTTCCACCCTCTATCTTCCATTTTTGTCCTATCTCCCATTCCTCTGTTCTTCAATTGTCTTATGAGCACATAATTATTTCTGAACTGTTGGAACCACCCCCATGCAATGTGAAGTGACTAAAAGTTTAACGACATGTCTCTATTACAAGAAGTGGCTACGAAAGACGAGAGAAAGAGTTACAGAGCTAGAAAAAGTAGTAGTAAAAAGTTTAAAATTAAAAATGAAGTGTGTTATGTAAATTTTATTATGAATTTTTTTTTTCTAAGTACGTTGCATTGTCGTTGAATTGGATGTGAGTTGCCCATAGAATTCTTCAAGTCCAACACCAAAAAATTGTGAACAAATCCAACATATCTCTCTCCCTGTCGCTGTTTGCTTCACTTTGTTTTTCAAGAGACTGGCTTTCTAATTTATTCATGAGTAGTGCAATATAATTTACCAAAATTTATGAACTTCTTTCCCTCAAATGAGTTCTCCCACTCACATATTCTTCAGTAGATCTCATTTTAGATTTCAAAATTTTATTATTATCCGCCATATATATGAGTTTTAAAATTTTATAAAATTTAGTTTCTTGGATATAATTATTTTATTGCTAATTTTACCAATACCTTTCAGTTATTAATAAATATCACTTCCTACCCTAATCTATGAACACATGCTTGTATACTCTTTCAATTATAAAAATCTATCATTTTCACCCTCTAAAAGGGAGGCATTTGGACATAATTCTTAATTGAGGGAGTCAAAACGTACGGATTCATATGTAAGGAGGTAAGATGACATTCCTAATAGTTGAGGGGTCTTGATGTAATGAACTTTGTTTTTTAAGGGTATATAAGGAGGTAAGATGATATTCCTAATAGTTGAGGGGTCTTGATGTAATGAACTTTGTTTTTTAAGGGTAAATTACACTAATCTCTCATGATATTTGAAAATAATACAAGTAACTCCAAAACTTTAACATATTTACATTGATCTCCCTTTTAGTAAGGTTAAAGCAATAGAAATTAATGTATTAGTATGAATACACAATGATAAATAAAAAAAATATATAATTTAGTGTAAAAAAAAATAACAACATTTATTTTTTTTATCCAAATGATTAATGAAATATTGATAAAAATGAAACCGTGTTGTTATGTAAATTAAATTGTTATTTTTTTCAAACTTGAAAGGATTTGAGTGTTAATTTATCATATTTTTAAATTTATTCAATGTATTGGAGAAAAGGTAGGCCCGACGGAATCGTGATTTCATTATTAGGGTGGTCAAAAATAAAATAATATTTTTCACTATATACGCAAAACACATAAGTATATATAATATGATATATATATATATTAAAAAAATTTAAATATCATAGAAGCAATTTCTAGTAAGATAAAGAAATTTTTTAGTGTAAAATAAAAAGAAAATTCAAAATAAAAAAAAATGACATATATATATTTTTATATTGAAAGTAATTTTATGTATAAAATAATATATATATATCTTTAAAGTTGTATGATAAATAGTAATTTTCACAGAAATAAAAGAGTCATAACACCCTGTAGCCTTCTGCTAATTCTGTCCCTCGCTACAATAGTTCACATGCATGCATGCAGTAGTTAGTGCGTACATATGGATGAGGATGCATCATGCATATATGTCCATACATGCAGCTATCCATACAAAGAAGCACAGAGCTTTTGCTGTACCAGACCACAGAGGAACAGAAACAGAAAACAAAGATATTTTTGCTAACGAGGAAAAGGAAACAGCTTGATTGATTGATAGCATCCTGGCAATTGCCTACTACAAAACACAAATTTCAAATAATTTTTCAGAAACAAATTAATCGTGTACAACAAATCCAAATATGAGCTGTTCAATCCCATCAACAAGAAGAGAGAGAGAGAGAGAGAGAGAGAGAGAGAGATTGGAGGGTCGACATCCTCTCATGTCAATTTCATCCATCCATTCATCAAGCTGGCAATCTGCAAACCATAAACATCACGTCATAATGAGCCGGCAAAAAATATTCCATGCCCCCATGTGGTATTGAACCAAAATAATTTAAGTTATTTTGGACTATTTTGAGAAAATAGTAAAAATAATTTTTTGATTTTTAATTAAATTTTTTATTTTTTTAGATAAATGATTTGAGAAATTAATAAACAGTTACTTTTTAATTTTTTTGATTAATATTTATTTATGATGTCAAATCATAATAAAATGACTAAACTATCCACATTCAATTTAAAATATTTATAACTTTACCCATGTAGTACATTTTGACTCATGAGAGGTAAAATTATAATTTTACTAGTAGCTAAAAACTAACTTTCCAAACGAAAAAAAATGCAAAAAAGCCAACTTTTAACTTTTGTTACAAACCAAAAAAAGTGACTAAAAGCTAAGTTCCCAAAACACCCTTTAGTCCCCATTTGGTAAACATTTTAGGCTAAATGATCATAAAATGACAAAAAAAATTAAATAAATAAAAATTATAAAATGTCAAAACACTTGAGTTGAGATGTAAATTTACCAAATTGACCCAAATACAAACAAAAAGTCAAAAAAACATCATTTCTAAATGGATGGTAATTTTGTCATTTTAATGTAAAATGTCAAAAAAGTCTAACAAAAAAACCAAACAAATAAAAAAGTTTCAGGCTAAAAAAGTTAAAAAATTCAAAAGCCAACTAAAAAATTCATTGCCAAACGATTTGCGTAAGGAGTGGTTTGAGATAATTTAAATAATTATATTTTTTTGACTTTTTACAAAAAAAAAAAAAAAAATGATAAAAATAAATAGTTTAGATTATTTTATGGCATGGCCTATGGGCAATGAATAATGCTCCATTTAAGGATTTTTCACATCTACGGTTACAAAATTCAAAGAACCTATTAAAACAAAAAAACTAATAAATTGTATATATAGGTTTATACATGTGCATACATATAGAGAGCTACAAGTTTAAGAAAACAAAAATTAATTCAAAATTCACTTGAATTGAAAAGTCTTATTCATTTATTTGATTCCTGTGTTTGTAGCCGGACATAAGCGAGAGATATGGCATATTCGACGAACAAGAGTATATAACTCAGTAATTAAGGTGGATAAAATATTAAAATAGCTAGAATCTGAAAGCAGTTTTTAAACATTTGAGTAATACGGCCTATTTTGAGACGTGAATTAAAAGTCACTTTTTAATTTTTTAATTCACTTTTCTTTTTTATAAAAAAGTTAAAAAAAAGTCAAAAAATAACTTTTAACCAAATTTCTAATCACATAACAAATAATTCATTTTATTAAAATCTCAAAATCAATTAATAACTTTTAATAATGCCACAAATATATTTCAATTAATAATTCTAATAATTTTATTATTGTACTGGTGAGCAGTTAGAATTTTTTTTTTGTGTGTTAATTATATTAAATAAAAAAATTCTAATAATAAAGTATTTGTAATTTTCAACACTATAAGAATAATTCGTATTTTAAATAAATCTTGAGAAGTGTATTTATAATTTATCGTAATTATTTTTAGGTATTTCATATTATTTTATACGGACACTGAAATTAATAACCATCCATTGAGAGAACACTAGCAATTTCCTTATAGTTCTTTTTAATATATATATATATATATATATAATATAATTTCTAACACAGATTCTCTATGAACAAAAAGGACAAAAAGGAAAGACAAATTACGAAGTAAGAAAAGACTAAAAGGGCAAATTACGATAATAGTCATTACGTTTTAATTCTTGTGTGATTGGGGTTATTATAATTTTAATTAGGTCAATTTTGATCTTAAACTTATAATTTTATTTTAATTTGTTCCAATTATAAGGCCAATTTTTTGGCTAGCCGGCTCCAAGGTTTTGGCCGGCCGGCGAATTAGCAGTCCATGTACTTTGATTGTTGTGTCATTTTGATCTTTGTAATTTTAATTGATATAATTTTGATCTTAAATTTATGATTTTGTTTTAATTTGGTCCAATTGATTACAACTCTTACATTTTTATGAAAAATATACATAAAAGTAGCATGTGTCATATTTTTTAAAATAAAATTATAAATTTACTAAATCAGTGAGTTAATTATAACAAATTCAGTGATTATTTTTCTTTTAAAACTACTAATAACATTATTAATTAGACTAAATTGACACAATTTAAAATTAAAATTAAAAGTGAAAATTAAATCAATTAAAAATAAATGGATCAAAATGATCCAGATGACAAAATGTAAAAACCACCGTGATTTGCCCAAGAAAAAAAGCATGCAGCTTTCGTTTGACTACTGCGGAGCAGACACAATAACAACAACAAAAATGTGGATGGATGAGTTAACCTTGAATTAACAGAAAACAAATAAATATTAGCTTTTACAAATTCCATTCATTGTTCAATATTCAAAATTTAAACTGTTCCAATGAACAATAACTTCATTATTTATATCTTTAATATGCTCATTTTATGTGTGGGCAGATTGATTTCTTTCGTGAACGGGTTAAATACATACAGGGATTATAATTATCAGGTAGTTAGTAAGAACAAACAGTGAAAATAAATATTATGTTAAATTGTTGATGACAAACTCATTTAAAAATTTAAGCTAGTAATAGAAAATTTTATTATCTATATATCCTCAATATTTAAATATGAAATCAACATGATGTGTAGGCAAAAAGCGAGCATAAAAAGAGTATAGTAAGTGAACTGAGGGAGAAGAACATGTGAACGCATAAGAACACTGTCTCAAGAAAGCTAAAAAATAAAATTAGGGTTAGGGTTTTGAGATGGAGTCAGTGAGAGTACTTAACTTAGATCTAGAGAGTGCAAGTGAAACCAGGAGGGGGTGTCTTCCCACAAGTGACAAGGAGCTGAAGAGCGAGTGGAACAAAGATGTTGAGGTTCAGAACCTTGAGCTTCAGAGTGGTGCACAAGCACACTGCTGCCTCAAGCTCCACCAGCCCTTGCAGCACTGGGCAGCACTCGTTGACGACAGGGTCACCAAGGCCAATGTGCACCAACCCGCCAAGAAGATCCACACAAGCTCCAAGCTTAAGAGTGTCGATTGGGCACGTGGCGGGTGGTGGTGGCAGGCAAGGCAGGCAAGGCTTAGGTGGTGGTGGCGGGCAAGGCTTAGTTGTTGGCGGGTTAGTCACCGGAGGAACTGTCACTGGGGGGAGGGGCTTGATTGGAGGGAGAATCCCTGGAGGGAGGGTGATGGGTGGGTTCACAATTGGAGGTAGGGTTACCGGAGGCAGGGTGACCGGTGGTTTGGGAATCGGAGGTAGGGTGACCGGTGGTTTGACAGTCGGAGGTACGGTGACCGGTGGTTTGACAATGGGGGGTACGGTGATTGGAGGATTGACAATGGGTGGGACGGTAATGGGTCCCTTGGGTGGCTTAACCTTGCCGGGCTTGTGCTTTGGGGGTTGGCCACAAATGCCACAACCAAGAATGGGGGTGGTGGAAGAGATGAATAGCATGGAAATGAAAAGAAGAGCTGTGAACTTAGATGACTCCATTTTAGTGTACTCTTTGCCTTGCTTTGTGTTGCAAAACAAAGAGAGAAATGGACTGGGTTGGTAAAGTAGTGGTAGATGAGTGGGGTGTTATATAGAGTGAGTGAGCAGTGAAGTTCAAAAACAAAACAAAAAGGAAAAAACCCTAGAAGCCAAAAAAGTTAAAATAAAAAAACACCCTAGAAGCAAATCACGTGAACATGGGGCTGGGGAAAAAGGCAGCTGACAAATTTTGCTAGTTGGCATTGGCAACTAGCTTGGAGATGCATGAATATCCATTTTGCCCTATCATTGTGCTTTTATCACTAGATTGGGTGATTCAAAATTTCATCCAGGATATCATATTATATTACATTGAGTTTTAATGAACCCTATAACTTGACTCAACTGTCTGTCATGGATAGGTTACTAGGGTTAAATTTGGTCCAAGAGAAACAAATATTAAGTACAAAAAACATTACTTTGCATAGTCTCGGCCATCACTAAAAATTATAATTATGTCTTTATATCTTATATTCATCTAATTGTATATTATCCTTCCTATCACAATATAATTATTTTTCATTAAATAGTGATATTGTATTATCATTACACCTAATATCGTCAACGTCCTTCCAACACAAAGTATGTGTCTTAGATATAGTTAGTTAAATGACTACTCTTTAGACTTAATTTAACCACCTGTTCCATAATATGCAGATTCATTATGCGACTTTTTTTTTTTCACTGTATGTAAAAGGAAAATGGGATACTTTCAAATGAGTGCATATTTAAAAATTTATTTTCAAATTAATGGTAAATTTTATAAACATTAAAAGGTAAAATTATAAATCTTATCATCTGTTTGGAATTAATTTTTGAGGCTATCTCTGAGAGGTAATTTTCCCAAGGAAAATAGGGGTACAAGAAATTATTTGGTAAAGAAGAAGATTAAGTTTATGAAACAATCGCGTGTGCATTCCTCTATTATTTGAACGAGACAAATGCGATTCAGACTACAATCCCATAAAGCATGTTTCAATAAGTAAACTAAATAATTGTTGACGCAAATCTGTGTGCGTTAGCCTGGCATGATAGTATTTTCAATGAAAAATGCTTGGGAGTACTAATTAGTGCTCCCACTAATTAGGTGGCGGTGGGTCCCGCCATTAATGATGTGATGTTTTAGTCTTGGAGTTGTGTTTATTATTTTTTTTTTTTACTTTTTTAATGTATTAGTGCTATTAGTGGTGATGGTTTTAGTGGGATGAATCATTGTTGTATTTTCAATTCATTATTTTGATTGCACTGGGACATGTGCCAGCGTAATTAATTTTGAGCAAATTACACTGATGTTTCTATATTTTGTTTTTGTGTTATTTTAATTTTTTAATTTTTTATTTGCTCAATTTTAATCTTATATTTTTTTATTTATGTCAATTCAGTCCAATTTGCAAACGTTTGTTAATTAATTAATTTATTTACTATTTTAAAAATCGGACCAGTGAGCAAATCGGACAAGGGATCGGGTGAACGGGTCATCGGTTTAACCGTCGGATTGAACCGGAATCGAACCGTGACGTAATAAATATATTAAAATTATATTTAAATAAAAATATAAGTAATAAAATTATAAATTAAAAATCTTAAATATTTGTCATAATATTTTTTTACTGAAAAATATAATAATATATTTTAAAATATTATTAATTTTAATTTTGGAAGAAGAAATCAAATATTTAATATTCCCTCCATATGATTTTAATTCGAATAATTTGATTGAAAGAATAGCAAAAATTTTGAAAGGATATCAAAATTTCAATATTCTCTCCAATACATTTGATTGAATCCCACATAGATTTCTTGAGTTTTTTGAAAGAATTTTTTTTCTTATAAATAGGTGAAGACTTTCACAATAATTTCATCAAGCTTTTAATGACATTCCTCACAAGAGGAGACCTTTGAAAGAGAGTTTCAAATTAAAATTTTATTATATTCTTATATTATATATATTATATATATATATGTATATAATAAGAAAGAAAGAAAGAAAGAAAATAAAGGAAATAAAAAAAGAAAAAGAAAAAGAAAAGTTCCAAGCCGATCAACCAGATGAACTGGCTCTGGGGCTGCCGGTTCGACTGCCGGTTTTTCCGGTTCTCTCTAAATAAGATGGTTTTTAGTTTTGACCTGTTCAGAGGGTATATTCAGACCGAAACTCTGACTGGTCGACGGTTCAATCGGTCCGGTCCGGTCCGGTCCAGTTTTCAAAATCGAAAATTTATTTATTTTTAATTTTTAACCAAGTGCGCATTACATGTCCTATTTTTAAGAGCAAAATTGTAAATTCTTATATTTTCTATACAAATCCGTCCAATTCATTGAGTTAACTCACTCAAATAAGTAGAGAGGGCTCATGATGGGTTTCATTATTGGGATGAGGGCTCTCTATGGATCTAATCTAGATGATGGGAGGAGGAGAAGAAATGAGGACTCGGTGCATCTCCCTTGCCAATGAGGGTTGTGACTGGAGGCCGTCATCGTTGCAGATTGTGGATGAGCTTGTCGTCGCTATCTCCACTCATCTCTTTTTATTTTTTTATTACAATTAAAATTTTATTTTTGATTTTGGTGTGGTTTGGTGGTAGCGGTGATTGTTTGGTGGCATGCGACAACCCCATTTTGTATTATGCTTTTAATTTCTTAATTGTTCATGTGCTTATGTGCTAAGTATGAATTTGGTGATAATCATGTCATTAATGTGGTTTTGACTACATATTTGTTGATCGTTAGAAAATCTATTATGATTTTTGTTTTGATCTGAAAATTGAAGGCCTTAATGGCGTCAGAAACCGAAATTGGCTAATTTATTGTGATCAACATAATCTCTAGAGCCTATTAAAAAGTTTGATTAAAATTTGAATCAATTCAAAAATATCAAGTTTTGATTAAATTAACATTAAACCTAATTATTCACTTAATTCTTGATTAGTGATAATTAAGCCAATTAGTATATATACATGTCATAATCAAGGAGTTGAGCTAAAACACATTATTTGGCTGAATTTTACAAGTTAGAGAGAGAGTGAGGGCAATTTAGAGAGGAAAGGAGCTTGTGAACTTGAAATTTGGTACGGAAATTGGAGAATTAAGAAGAAGAACTCATTATTTTGTAAGAATTTGTGTTATTGAAGACCTTAGGTAAACCTTAATTCATGAAACAAAGTTCTTTCATATGTGAATTCAAGAGGATGATGTGTTCAAATGTAAGAATTGAGCTTAGAATGAAGAATTAGAGGTTAATTCATACATGCATGCATAGTTTTGTAGAGTTTCACAAGTTTGAGCATGATTCTTGCCATCCATATTAAGTTTTGAAGCTATCTTATATATGCACTCATGATTTATAAGAGTTTGAAGTTAGATTTTATGTTTTTGTAAACTTTAAAAAGGAATTTGAAGTTTAATCATATATGCATGATCATTTAAGTTAAAATCATGAAATTTGGCCATGAGGCTAGAAAATTGGTCTTGAATTCATGTTTTTGGAAGAGTTTTAAGTGTTTGAGAAGTTGTTTACAAGTCAAGCAAGAGTTTGTTTTGAAACTACAAGCTTTGAAGCTCGACTCCATTTTGAAATTTTTAGAATTCTTTCACACCACTCAAGCGAACAATCTGTCACTCAAGTGCACATTTTATGCATCCAGTATTTTTGAAAATAATTGTAGTTAGCTCAAGCAACCAAGTCATCGCTCGAGCGACTGCCTTTTTACTTTGTACCTTGGCTCGAGCAAACATCGAGCTTATATTCGGACCATCCAGTACTTTTGCAGACCAAGTGGTCCACTCGAGCGACCAATGTTGCGCTTGAGCGAAGTGCGCTATTTTAGCAAATTTTGAAAAGGCATATTGTGACCAAATGTGCATTCTCATTCCTTTTTGAGCATTCTTAGGCATGAATTGAATACCCTAAATGAATTAAGGGTTAGAATGAAGCCTAAAAGAGTTGAATAAGCTAAAGAACAATCCGATTAAGCAATGTAATTCAACGTGTATACGCTTATGAATTGTGTAAGATCATCTGTAAGGCGAATCAGCAACCAAATCACTGTGAGTAATATCTTAGTAAAGATATTTTCTTACTTACTTTATTTTTTGAATGTCCTAATATGGTAAGCTTTTCTGAAACTGTGATTTTGCAAGTGTGAATGAGTTTCTATCTGTTTGATCAGTATGATATTTGTAAATGTGATTGATATGACACGACTGTGTATGATGGACCCAAGGTTGTTCTGTATAACTGAATTGGACCCAAGGTCGTTCCCTATATCTGACAAGATGGATCTAAGGTCGTTTTAAACATCTGATAAGTTTGATTATCTACTATGAGTTGACCGAATGGTCATTATACAGCTGTAAAAGATTGTACCCGAGGTTGTTCAGTTATGATATGATCAATTCCATTATGTACATCTGTTACAAGTTAGACCCAAGGTCGTTCTATTATTTGTTGGACTTGAGGTTGGTTATGATAAGATCAATTCCATTATGTACATCTGTTATCTGTTGGACCCGAGGTCGTTCCATTATATATAGCTTATGATATAAAAATGCTTGTGCCAATTACTAGAACTCATTCTCATAACCCCTTTACTCTAATATTATTCATTGGACTTTAGCTCACTCCGTTTATATATATGTATGTAGGTGAGCAGCGTGATATCCAGCCCCAGCCTTAGTGAACCTGTGAAGAATACCAAGTTTAGTGAAGTCTGTCATGAGTGCCTCACGAGCAATGCTTTTGTTTCTTTTGTCTTTTGAATTTTTGTTTTCTTTTATTAGTCATGTTTGACGAACTTATATGTATATAAGTTTTGGTTTTGTGTGATAATGATGTTTGAAAGATCGTGAACATATGGAATCTTATTATATTTGTATGACTGTGAGTTATTAATATATGAGAAGTTTCTGTTTATGCCATTTATACACAAGCTCATTGGACAAACTTTGTTAGTCTGCTTCCACTTCTAGCCTATTTATTATTAAATATGTCTATATTTTGTCTAAGATTGTAGGCAATCTCATGGTTATCAGGCGGTTA